GCGTCCTCCCCAAGCACCCCCGCGCGCTCGCTCATCTTAGCCACTGATCTATATAAAAAAACTGTAGTATGCCTATTTTTAGTTAATTGCGCCTGGGTACGAGGCTGGCCCTGAACTGTCACCAGTGTGCTGAGGCCGTTAGTTTGAGGTTCAATCAATCAATCTCCAGCCCAATCAACCACCTCCCCACAGCTTCACATAAAGTTGGTGACTGCAATCACGCCCACTGAGGCGTTCGTATTGTTCGCTAGACAGCAAAACCATGAAGGAGAGGAATGAGGGGCCTTGGGAGGGTTCGTAGAGGATTTCCTCCCTGTTATGTCGGTCAGTTTCACCAAGAGCAGCAGGGCTCGGTTATCAGAGCCGTCACGGAGAGATATAAGTGTGTGGAGAGTTTCCAATTTGCCGACAAAAGAGAGTGCTTTCTGTGTGTCAGAAAGGTCAAAAGTGAGGTCAAAAGTGCCATATATAAATTGGTTGTGCACCGTCCTACTCCCATATATAAATGACCGAACAAAATCTGGTAACACTAGCAGTTAATCTGGTAACACTATCTAACCGTCAAAGAAAATGTTTATCAAATAATATTATGTGAGCTTTGAATAACCTCTCGCTTTAAAAGTAGCAAAGCTTCATAATACCGAGGCTTGAAAATATGGAACTTCCATATTTTCAAGCCTCGGTATTATGAAGCTTTGCTACTTTTAAAGCGAGAGGTTATTCAAAGCTCACATAATATTATTTGATAAACATTTTCTTTGACGGTTAGATAGTGTTACCAGATTAACTGCTAGTGTTACCAGATTTTGTGAAGATTATTGACAAATCTTGCTCCAAACAGTATACTGAAACATTTTTTTTTATTTATGATTCAAATCACTCTTATATGCGTTATGGCGTGGCCTAGCGGGCCCTCACCGCTCCACAGATCACATTATATTATAATTAATTAATTAACTACATTTGCCATAGTCACATGGTTATTATCGAGGTTATTTTTTTTCAAATATTAACTATGCATAGAATAAAATTGTAATTTTTGTTTTTATTCGAAGTTTATCGCGGTTCAATTCATGATATTACCTGTAAAATTTTTGCAGTGTGTAATATTGACGGTTGCATTGATTGCTCTTTTATTTATTTATGCATATTTTGTGCTTATATTGCTTCTGGAAATAGGAAAAAATTAACAGAGCATGACTTTCACTCGCGGTGGTAATTATATTGCAATAAGAGCGTCTCAGTTTACAATTATTAACTCATACTCGAAGGAGGAGTAAATTTATATGTTTGTCAATGAGCTATTTACGTTATGACTTGTTTCACGAGAGTTTATGGTTCGATTTTGAAGTGAATAATGTCGGACGGTGAGTTAAGCGATGGTGTAGGCGATTGGAAAGACAAGTTTAAAACCGAGGTAATATATTACACGTCTAGCTGTTAGAGTACTAGACCATGAAACGTTTTATAGATTACAAGACAACTCAAAAATTATGTACAACTATTTAAAGAGAAATACACCAGCACTGTATGAAACGATAGTTTCATATTGACATTACGAAATAGGTTTATTTAATAGATCTTTCAATATTATATGTCGTATTCGTGTATGTGCCATAATTGCAACAACGAATTGTCTACATTCAACCATATATTTATACTTCATTTGGCCTAACAAATTTATCGTGAGAATTTGTACTTTTGTATGTTTCTATGCTTGGCTATTTTAATATAAATGAACGAGGGCGAACGTTCCAATGAATATGGTCCCAATAAATTAATTAAACCTATGGAAATTATTGTCAAGAGCAAGGTCATCCTTGAATGCCATTATGGAATGAGAGCAGTCAGCAGTGCACACAGGTTCTTTTGGTACACAACCAGCATGGTACACAATTTTTCAATTCAGTCATCTCTGGCATAGCTGCAGAAGTTAGGGAGCTGTGGGCTAAAACTTTGTGTTATTTTCGTGTTTAGTAAAGGGTTAAGCATTGGGAAATTGCACAAAGTTTGTAGTATATTTGTACATACAGTACACCGTGGAGCAAATAATGAGCAATGCTACCAGTCCATAATCTAAAAGGCAACTCTAAAATTAATTCAAAATGTACACTTTAAACCTTCCAAACTTAGTTGAAATATGAACTCTAGAGACTGGAGTTACAGACCAACTCAAAAAATCATTTGGAGACAGTGTGACTAGAGCTGCTGGCTATAAATCCTGTAAAAATCATTGGCCATGCATCTCGGTCCATAAAAATAGAATCTACTGGCATCTAGATCTCTGGTGCACATTTATTACCGTAATCATGGCTAACATATCCCACTTTAGGTATGTTTAATACATTGGCAAAATCTAGTTGGTACCTACTCTGGCACCCAACAAGATATAGAATTGATAGAAATGCATGTTCTATGTTCTAACTTCCAATGAAACATGAAAATCCAATCTTGTGAGTTTTGGCAAGGGATGAGAGATTTCGCAGTGAAGCCCAAATGTCACCTGGTTTTTAATAAACTATAAGATGTGCATCACCAGTTGGGGATATGTGCTGGATACCGGTATCCACCTTTCTGGTAAAATTTTGACATCCGGCAGTATCTGGTAAAAATTTGCCGGATATTTAATGGATAGTACTGTAAGATATTTTGTTACAACCATGAAACAGAACGTTTATGGGCATTTAAAAATTGTGAAACACAAACAATTACTGAGCGTTCACTGCATTACGACGAAATTATACGACATATGTTTTTCGCGAATGGTGATGCGAACTGCTCGTTCACCGACAGCAGTGAATTTATATACTGAATACCAGTAAACAATGTTTATTTTTATCAACTGAATCCAGAAAATAGTTTAATATTTTGTTAATCAGTATGTACTGTGAACTTTAATAGATAAATAGGTCAAAGAAACAACTCTTGAAGTTATTGTAGTATTATGAACACATGCATTGCCACATTCGGACTAGTTAATTAAGTTATAAAAATGTTGTGTTTCTATGGGAGTATCTGATTATTATCCGGTTATCATTTTCTGCTGACCAGTATATGGACTACTATCCGGCAAAACAGTACCCGGCACATCCCTATCACCAATTCTCAGTTCCATGTTTCTTGTAGGTTGAATATGCAAAACATTTATCTCATGAAGAGGAGGAAAAAATCTGGGATCATGATGATAGCCCACCATCCTATGCTTCCTTATTTGGACAGTTTAAAGAAGCAAAAGAGAAGTCAGAAGGACCAGTTGATTTAATAAAAACCGCATCACAGCTTTTTGCTGGAACGAGTAAGTTTGTACTTTTTATATTCGTGTAGCATAGTCTCTCCTTGACAAGTAAAATTGTCCTGTGTTAGACAGAGTAAAATTATAATAAAGTAGGGCACATTCTACCACTTAAATTAAGGAACTTAAGTCTGTGGTAGTATTAAGTGGTAGTACATACTCTTGATCCCCTTGATGAATAAAATTGTCCAGCATTAGACATGCAGTCATGAGAGTAAAATAACGAAGTAGGCTGCATATTGGGGCACAATGCAACTCAATGGGTTAACTCATTGAATGCCACTGCTCTCCCTTTGATGAGTCATGAGCGCAGTAGACAGAGTAAAATCACAAAGTAATGCAACTCAATGGGTTAAGTAGACACATGAGCAGATTAGTCTGATTAAGCCAATGAACACCAGCACTCGATCGCCTTTGATGAGTAAAATCATCTGGTGTTAGGCAGAGTAAAATAATAAAGTAGGGTGCATATTGGGGCACAATGCAACTCAATGGGTTAACACATTGAGTGCCACTGCTCTCCCTTTGATGAGTCATGAAGCAGTAGACAGAGTAAAATCATAAAGTAATGCAACTCAATGGGTTAACACATGAGCAGATACAGTAGTCTGATTAAGCCAATGAACACCAGCACTCAATCGCCTTTGACGAGTAAAATCATCTGGTGTTAGACAAAGTAAAATAATAAAGTAGGGCTCATTCAGGGGCACATTATGCAACTCAATAGGTTAAGTGACCTTAACTGGACTGACTATCTCTTGATTCATTTGGTGTTTACCTGTATTTCTAAATGAGTAATACTAATGGGAGTATGTTTGGCACTTGACTGTGTTATCAACTGATTGATTAACTATCACTGAATAAATTGTGTAATTGTATTTCAATAAATAATATATATATATATATATATATATATATATATATATATATATATATATATATATATATATATATATATATATATATATATATATATATATGAATAATTAGTGAACTTAATTGTAGCAGCTCTATTAGTTACTTAAACTATCTTGAGATTCTTGGTAACATTAGAACGTATTCTGTTGTATTTATAGTTGATTTCTTTTCAATTATGCGTGTTGCAAACCTACTATAGTTGCCCAGAAGGCGAATAAATGTTGTCAGTTTTCAGTTTGTTAATGCCAAATTGTTTTTTAATTAATTGTTTTTTATTTTTTTGCAGTTGGTTGTACAATTGCATTAAGTTTTCTCCTAGCTGTTCCAGTTGCAATGATTGCAGTAGGTAAGCATACTGTATAGCCACAGAAAAGTGTACACCACTCTGTAATTGCTGCCTAAAAAAAGAATGTCTCATTATCTCCCACAAAGTTCCCTTATTCCCCACAAAGTTCCCTTATTCCCCACCATGTTCCCCTGTTCTCAGGCTATTAGCTAGAAGGGCGTCCAGGCATCCTGGGACGCCCCTAGAATGAAAAATGGACGCCTTTGGACACCCAAATTCTGGGAGGAAAGGGAAATTATTTTCAATTATTTCCCTAAGTATATTAATATATCTGAAACGAAATTTTAGTATCATTATTGTTATTGTATACATTTTATTTTGACATATTTTGATCAATTTGATGGTGTACCTGGCTGAATGAAAATGTCATAGTTAAGTAAAGAAGCAATTAGCGGCACAAACTCACAAAGCCAAGTGTGTTTGAAAAGTTTCGATCAAGCTTGAAACAGATACTGACATGAAGTAACGGTAACGTAAACTTCAAAGGTTTTCCAGAGGAGCGTTTTCTCGAAATCCCCCCCCTTTACTGTAGACGTATCGTTACACCAAAATTGGACGCCCTCTTTCAGGACCCTGGCTAAAGGCCTGCCTGTTCCCCAAGCTTAGATGTTTCCTTGTCCCCTTTGTACATGTCCCCTACAATTTTTCAGCTTTGTGTCTGTGTTTCCAGTGAAAAATATGGCTTGTTCCCTTGTTCTCTACAAACCCCTGGGAGACCCTGTAGATAGATCAGTTGAGTGTCTCTAAACTTTCATATTCGTTTTTCTCCTGGACATTTCTACTTATAAAATTAATTCAATCAGTCGGCTTAGTGAATATAGGCTTGAATGTGGAATTCCTCAATTCCATTGTATGTAGACATTTTAAGTAGCATATTGAACAGTTGGAGATTAAATGATCTGAAAATATAACAAAAACGTCGACGTTTCGAGTGATGACTGACCATGAAATTCTTGTTATACTGACAAAACTCAATATTGAAATGAGTTTTCATACTCAATCATCTCATGAAAAGTTTCATTGCAGTAAAAATGAAGGTTTTTTTAGTTAAATTTGTCTAGTAGAAATAACCTGTCCTGTCAGAAACGCTATCGCCTGCATGTCATTACACAACCTGTAATCAAAGACGAAGTAATTTTGAGCTATTCTAAAGTAGTATATGTAACATGCTCGTCCCCGGAGCCATTTTCGTTGAAAATTTGTACGCTCAGTCTGTGGCTCAGGGTTAAACGACTAAAGGGAGAGATCTAATTGGCTTCTCAGATATTTCTCAGAAGTTGAGAACGTTTCGATAGGCAAAATTATTCCATTGCACTTCCGGTTCCGTGTATCCCAGGGCCCATGAAGGTCGCGTACAGCCGAGAGGCCTCGGGAACGAGGATGTACAGTAAATGTAATAAAGACTAATATCGTGAAGCTTCCGTCCCTTTAACCTGGGGGTGGGGGAGGAACTCTGTCAATATTATTTTACAGTCAGTTACAATCTCTATTATCTGTAGAATGAATGTGAGCGCTAGCCGTCCCAGATAAAATTTTAATGTGTAAATTCCAATGAAATTGCAATGGCATGGTTTCAAATAGCGTAGCCAATCAGCGAAAGGGTGCTTAAATGTAGTGTAAATTTTATGGCTCGTCCAGGATGGATTCTCGCAGCTCCGTTGGTTAGAGCGCTGTATCGGAATCGCAGGGTCGCAGGTTCGATTCCTGCAGAGGGCTTATGGTTGCATCAGTATCGCAGCTGATCCTGGTTTGGTCTAGCCCTCGTTCCCAGGCTCTCTCCTCCTAGGAGAGGAAAGAGCCTGAGTAGAGGAAAGTGCCTGAAAACGAGGTTGGTTATGTCTAAAATAGCATGCGAGCAGCGATATCTAAAAATGTATAAAATTTACACTCGAAATTGGCACTCGTGTAAACCCAAAAATATTTCAAATAGAGCAAAGAAATTTAAGCGAAAAGTATTCGACTTTACTGTTTTGAGAGCTGAGATGTTCGATTTGCAAGCGGTACAAAAAGGTAACGGCGTTTGTGTTCACACGAAGCCGCCAAGCGCTCCGTTTTCATCTCGCTCCGTTTAGAAACCGTGCTCAAATGATTACGGCAATTTCGCTTCGGCGTAATCTGAACGCGACGGCTAATTGTGACTTGTCCGCGCCGTTTTCAAACCACTCCGGCGTGGTCTAAAATAATGGGATAAAGTTCCACGTAGGGATAAGCAATGTTTTTATCTTATCTGTGACTGTTTATCTTTATGTGCAAGTGACCGGCGTCACAGTGCATACTGTCACCCCAAAAGTGTCCCCCGGACACTATCCGCTAGCGGATAATGTCCCCGCTTGCGTATTCTGTCCCCCTCGCAAACTATGCGATTACGTTCATAGAATGAGACGTTTTACGAAAGGAGTGTGGGTAACGCTTTTTTAAGTTTTTCGTAACAGTTTGTTTAACTTGGAAATTTGGAATGCTTGTAATTAAAACCAATTCTGTTTACAGCAACAGAGGCATTTTAATTTATTCAATCCTTTTTATTATTGCATTAATCCTACTGTTATTGAAAACAAAGTCAAAGAAATGTCTTGGAAGATGCAAAGGGCCACGGGAGTGCGGGATAAGTGATTGGGATGGCTCATTTTAGCAAAATTGATCCGTCATTGATTTTGCTCACATTTTTCCTGTTCCATGCCAGGACAAAGTGAAGACGAACCACTTCCCCGGATGTCCCCTCCACCAAAAAGATATTTCTGTTGTAATAAAAGAGCCCAAGTTCAATTGGCTGATTTAGAATCTACAGGGTTTCAAAGACTAAAACTATCAGTTGCGTTTATTCATAGACATAGTTTATATATAAAAGAGCCATATATGTTGTATTCCTTGCGTGTGTGATTGAGTGTATTCATTCAAAAATATATGGGAAGGCCTGATACTTTTATACCTGATGCAACGATGACTTAAAAAAAATGCCATTTTCCTCTCAAGTGGCTATTAATTTCTCAGCCTGATTTTGTTTTAGACTTTAGTCACTGCTTTGTATTTCTTTGTACTGAAACATGATATGCACGTTATTCTTGAAATTCAAGAATGATTATTTAGCAGAATATTATTCATTAAAGCAGAATTTGATAAAAAGTCTGAGCATTTTTCGTTCACTACATATGGGGGGACACTATTCACGGAAATGTAATTAAAGAGGACACTCTCCGCGGGGGAGACACTATCCTCTGTGACACTGGCGGTGTAAAATTGTTATAGTATTCCTTTAATGAACGTCCTGTTTTGTAGTGGTTTCATGGTTTAAATAAATGCAAGGAATTTACTGTATTTTGGTTTGTTTGTTGTTTTAGGCATTAATTATAGAAACGACTGTCCTGTGGAACCTTTTATACCAATATATCTTATAGTTGCTGGTTCTTGTGGTCTTTTAAAAGCAATTATTTTAACTTGTGAAAAATTAAAGAATCCTGAAACTGACGAAGAACGGAACACGGACGAATTTTCATCATATGAAGACATATCAAATACTAGTAAATTTATGGATGGTATTCTGAATATTTTTATGTTCACGTGGTTTATAGCTGGGAATGTGTGGGTTTATACACACTATAAACCTAACGCGAAACCGCCATTACACGATCCATTGAACTATTGTGAACCCACGGTGTACTGGTTTGCGTTTTGGATTGTAACTGTCAGTTATGTCATAATGGGAACAATATTTTTTTGCATATGCTGTTTAGGAGCATGTGCAAGCTGTACAGCGCTTTTTGTAACAAAAACTTGAAGTTTGGAAGAGAATTTTATATGGTATTGACTACTGTATGGTGTCACGACTGAATGCTATATATAATTAACTGGATT